AAAATAATGATTAAAATTATAGGTGACAACTTGGTTCCTCTTCATTTGTGGTCGTAGTTGCTCAATCAAAGGAGCTTTTTTAAATTTCTTATCAGTGTACTTGGTAGTTTTAGTAAGAATTTATACAGAGAATGGTGGATACGTCCGAGGAGTTACTTGTTCCATGATTAGTTGAAAAATGATTCGCAACCGCATTTCTCTCATGTTGTAGTTTATAAAGAGAGTTAGTGTGTTCTTCTATTCTTGTTTGTAAGGTTTTTCGTGTCACCATTGCACATGTGATGGTATATGTTAAATGTAAGAGTTATTCACAAGCTGAAGGTTGTGACCTCTTTGTTTTATACTGTATATATATATATATGTCAGTGTAAACTACTTGCACCTGATGATGACAAGACCTTGTCGAAACGTTGTATATTTGCTGTTATATTCAAGTTTTTCTTCATTACCCGTTCAAGCCGTCTCCAAGCATTATTAGATAAGGATATGCATCACCTTTGAGTTATCAGTATTTTTTGCAGTCTGCTATCATACTCTCTAAGCCTGACTTGGTTTACATAATATTTTGCATAAAAGAAAATTTCTGCAGCTTTACAAAAAATACAAACTAGCATGAACAGATTTTGAAAACTGAAAATAAAATCTAAAGAAACTTTAAACAACTTGCCAGACCTGTGGTTTGTTTCTAAATCTTTTAAACTTGTTCGTTTGTTTTTCAGCTTTGTGCAAAGCTACTCAAGAGTTATTTGTCCTAGTCGTCTGTAAATTTGAAGAGATAAAATAGAGGAAAGGCAGATAGTCAACAACACATGCCACTAAGTATTGGGTGACAACGTCGGGAATAGTGGGATTGACCATCATATTATAAAGCCCCCATGAATAAAAGACCGAACATGTTTCGGCGATGGGTTTCTATCTCTCGAACCACAGATTGCGAGATGTTTGCATAACTAACAGACTATGCCAGGCCGCCTTCAAAACTTTCTACTACATTCCGTTGCTCATCTTTGTAGTAGCTACAACTAACAACTTTGCCATGAAACCATAGATTATCGCTACCACCACTTTATTCATTTTATATTGCCGTAAATAGTTTACAATATTCTGTAACCAGTGGCATTAAACTTCGACTGTAGCTTTATTCAAAGCTGCATCATTCGTAGTTGACACTTAATTTGCAGTGATGTAATAAAAGGGTGGATATGGAGACTTGTAATGATAAAATGTTAGACAGAAAAGGTAAATTAGGAGAGAGAGAGAGAGAGAGAAACAGGAATTGTTCAACTGTATTATCAAGTGATGATGGTTTTTTAGGAAAGAGAAACCTATGTTTTGGGATGAGCAAAAATAATTGCAAAATTTGTTAAGCTCATGGGAGTTGTGCAATGAGGTAAGGTTGAATATTTTTATTTTTTTTGCCGATTACATTGAATACACGCTACAAAGTAGAAAAATAGCAATTATAAAAATTTTGAGTAAACAAATTGTTGAAATAGTGTTAGAATTATTATTATTATTCTACTTTCCCAACTGCATTTACCATATGTGTTGTAATATCATATGGTCCAATAACCCTACCTACCTTTGCCCCATTTCCCCAATAAACACTTCTGGTTCAGCATTGAAATTTAGTGTATGGTCTGGTAATTGCACTTCAAATGGATTTTTCTCATTCAAGAATACCTCTAGATAATCCTCCCATCTCTTCTTTACTTCCTCTGGATAAATAATCGTCCCATTTCTTCTTTACTTCCTCTGGAGTTACTTGCAATTTTTTATCCTTGTCATTTATAAATGCCGAATAGAATTTATTCTCATTTTGACTGGTTTCTGCTGTTAGCTATTTTGAAATTTTTGTCTTACTACAACATTTTCCAACTCCTCATACAGTTCATATAATGCCTCTTTTCTAACATTACTTACTGCCTTCCTTGCCCCCTTTTTCGCTTTTGCATACTCCTCGTTGCTTCTCTGTGTTGGTTGAAATTTTATTGTTTTCTAGCCTCTTTCTTTGCCCTTCCACATATCTTATCTGCTGCAGTTACTCTTCTACTTCGTAGGTACTTCCACTCTTCTGCTGTTTTTAGTGGATCAACTAATTCTTTCCATTCCAAAAGTTCTACAAACTGTTTTGCATATGCTACCTTCAGCTTCCATCCTTTAATACATTTTATTTGAACATTGGTATTTCTTTTTTCCACTTTTCCAGCACAGTTGTTACTAGTACTGACTTCTGCTACGCTACCGTTTCAATCGGAATCACCTTACAGTCCTTCACACATTTCCGTTGTGCTTTCTGTACTAGAAGTACATCTAGCCATAATCTTACATTAGTGCTTCTATAGGCACACCTTTCGCTATCTGGCTTCTCAAACCATGTGTTAGCCATTGCTGATACACATATCTAATGGATCTCATTTCTTGTTATCAGCATCATAACTGAACTTCCTTTGCATTCTGTCCAGTCTTGCCCAATATGTGCATTTATGTCTCCCAGAATTAGCATAAACTATTCATCTCTTGTCAGGTCATCATTTTATTTGAATTATTGCTGCCAACAACATGCTATTGGCTCTAATAATCTCCACCACTGCTTTTCTAATTTCTCCCCTAATGGTAATTCTATTACTTGTATCTTCTCCGCCATAATAAAATTTGCAATCAAGACCAATCTTATCTCTTGGATCCAAAGTACTTCCAAGTTTCTTCATTTAATCATTTCCATCACCCCCATCTCCTTCCCATGCTCACTAAGTTTCTTTTTATTTTGTTGGCAAGGCTAGGGTTTTACGATCAACCATTCACTTTTTATCCTATCCTTTCAGATTTTCGAAGAGCAAGTCAGACGTCGGGTACCAATAATCCTACTTACTAGGGGCTCACAGGCTTAAGGCGGGCGACCTATTGGCCTAGGGCAAAATAACCCCCCAACCGTTAACAGATGTCCCTAGCAGAGCACCTTTGAGGCTGAACTAGCTCCTTCTGATAGATGGTAACTACACAAGTCCAGGTTTTGGCAACTAAGTATTCACGAGACTAGTCACCTTGCAGCAAAGTCCATAAGAGAGTTAGTGCACCGGTTGGCGTCTCTGCTGTGCACCACAATATCAAAGCCACGGAACTGAGTAGAATCCACCATTGCTGCTGCCCAATGGTTTTATCATTGCCTAGCCCAAAAATACAGTTACCACCAAATAAAGAATGTAAGACACACTATTTAGAACATCTTTCATATTTGCTCCTTAGAGTATTGTTCAGAAAGTTAAGAGTGCTTGGAACTAACATGTTGGATTTAGGGCAAGCAACTCTTTGCAACTATTATAAATTTGGCCTCAGTTTACACTTGGTAAACTTTAAAGGCCATATAGAAGACTAAATCTAAGTTTATTATTAATATTATATACAGGGGCTAGTATATAATTATTATTATATCACAAGATAACTGCAATTTGATATTTTGGTTTGTATGTATTATACGAAACGTTTATATCTATGTTTCATTGCTACAGTGATCTTAAGATAAAGACAAACAACTAAGTACAAAAACAGGAAGATGAAAAATACAAACAAAAAGTTAAAAAAGCCAGACAATAGTCAGTCAAATATTTAGTTTGACAAATACAAGTTTGTGAATAAACAAATCACTACTACTAATCAGTTAATTATTAAAAGTTTGTTTGTTTTTTAGAGCAAAGCCATATTTGGCTATCTGTTGTCAAACCAACTAGATATTTCAGTTTCTGATTATTATTACCAAATAGAATATGTTTATGAAATTGCGTTATCTTCTACTTGCATATCTTAACCAACGTTTCTCGAGTGAACGATAAGAATAGTCAAACCAAAGTCTAACTTATTGTGTTTGATTTTGGCAACCATTCTTCGACAGGGTTCAAAACAGAGAAAATAATATCTCAAAAGTATGTTTCAAGACAACAAAATGCACGAAACTGACAGAATGTCTGTTAGTATTAACGTCCGTATTCCGGAATGCCAGTACTTCCGTTTTCAACTTACCTACGATATTCCTAGAATCTGTGAATTACGTTATGTTTTATGCATCGGTTACAATGAATTTATTAGACAAACAAGTGTATTGTTTTTTTTGCTGTTAATAATATATTTTTGTATCTTCACAACTGTACTGGCATCCACATAACCAGTTTACCTAATTTAACAACTCCAACTCTGTTGATAGTTCTTGGTATTGTTAACATTATCATTCAAAACTGTCGATCATATAGCAAGTTGATTTTCATGTTTCAATACGCCTTTCTTCTGAAGTGAAATCCGACATAAAATGAATTGTGTAAAAAGCCGTAAGGAAGAAATATTACAAATTAAACTTCAGATTTATTATTATTTCTGTTCGTGTGTTTTGAATTTCGAGTAGTAATGACATTATAACATTGTCTGTGATAAAAACCTTTTGCGTTTGATTCCAATATCATACACCTAGTTTTGCTAATAGTTAGTATTTGTAGATAATGTTTTTGGGTTATTAATCTTAGAAATATAAAGGTTTCTCATAAGTGTTTCGATCAGAACTATCGCTTGATTCTAGATTTGAAATTATTCAACAATACTCATTCCTGCAAGAAACGGAATAAATAAATCGAGTTTAATGTACTTTGTTTTATAGAATAACAACAAGAAATTATAGGAGTAAATAATACCGCAAGAGAGACTCCATAAACCACAAAGGAATTTCGTATGAAATTCGATTAGACTAAATAAACACAAGCTAAACATTATTGCACGATATCTATCACCTATTATAGGTTTTTTACAGATGAAGTCGGAAGTCCGTCAATAGTTACGTAATTATTAAATGAAAACATGAAATTAAGAGTGATTGCAACATTATAGTTTCACCATGTTTTTTTTTTTTGCAACAGAGTTGAAACGTTTTGAAAGTGGGAATGCAACAGTGTAAGTTGGAAGCATGATTTTTGATATCTTATGTGAATAGTTTTGTATATTTGTTCTACTTAAATTAGACTCATAGATCGTGCTCCTAGTGGAACCCCATTTATTGCTCTCTCCTTCACCATCAGAATTGTGGAAGGTTTGGGCTCTGCATCGTTCATGACTGCAGCTAATGCTGTGTGTGCAGGAGAATTTCATGATCAAGTAGCCATGGCTTTGGTGAGATATCATGTTTAACCTTCTGATTTAGTTTATATCGGTAAAAATCGTACCTCAAAATATATTTATAACAATATTTTGATTCTGTATATATTCAAAATAAAAGTCACATTTTCAGTTTATTTTCCATAACAAGGCTTTGAAGCCAATCCTGTATATACACGCAACGCATAAGCATAGAACCTGAAATACACATGCCTAAATAAGTCCATGGTATAACGATAAATAATAGAAGTCATAGATCGATAGATCTTATGCAAAACTGTCCTTTTCACTTTACTGACACAATGATAGAAATATATAATCCTTGAGACATTTGGGAAACAAAGTTAAAGTCGTATATAATATCCTTTTTCAGGGTAAACCGATTTTATAAGAAGATCGCCTGAACGAGCTCAAGTTTTGCGATTTTGTGTAAAAGAAAAGTGAAACTAAGTTTGAATAAATGTTCTTGTTATCGACATACCTAAAAATACATCACAGACTATCCAAAATCTGTTGTTTATATATAGTTTGTATTGAAATCAATACTCAGGGCAGGAGATTTATATGTTTTCATTCATTATGCGACTTAACTGAACTTTAAACCTCTTGTCAATTTAAAAAAAACTAGTTTTCAAACTTCAAAAGAGAATTTCGTATTTATTTATCACTTGGTACTTGAGTTACTAAAAATATTTTGGTTTTACTTTAACGAAATTGATGCTTTTGACGAATATCGGTGTGCTTTCTATTTCTCCATTACAGTATATTTGATTATCTTAACCGTCTTTAGATAAAATAGGTTTTATGTAAATATCGGTTAAAGTTAGAAGATATCTAACCGCTACGTTACTTACTTGAAACATAGTTATCAAAATTAATTACCTATAAGAAATTGTGAAAATAGATAAATCATAAATTTAAATGACATTTAGTTGGATGTAGCGCGTTTACAAACGAAATGGGAGAAAAAGAAATTACTTGTAATAAAGTAGCTTCGTACTAGTATCTTGAAGACAAATTTACAATTTGAAAAAACCAGTGAAAAAATGTTGTTTAAATTTATTTCTGTTTAGATTTTATACATTGCTATCAATGAGGTTAGATACTTATTTATTTTTTCCTTTCATATACAATATGATGGCTTGTACATAAAATGTACATGCAGGTATTCAACGAATACTATGAAAAATAATTATCTGTATAGATTAGTGTAGTTGGCAACAATATTTTGTCAACTCTCATTTTTTAAACTTTAAATCACCATGCACGTTAATTAATATCCATTTTTAAAAGAAGACGGGGTTTAAGCTTTTAACTTGGATTTGCTCGATACTGTTAAAGATGAGCGACGTTCCTTGTATTCGAGTAATCCAGAGGAAAGTAGCCCTAAGCAAAACACGTGCCAAACGTATCTTTACTCAAAAGAACTTGATGAAGAAACTAAGTTTTTCATTTACATCTTTCGTTGATAGGTTACTTAAATCAGGAAAGGTTGATTATGTTGCTAGTTCCTATGATAGTTTATTAAAAAAATGTTAGCTCCCACCAACTTTCGGTTTGCTTCTTGTATTATAAATGCAATGCCCAATATATTTATAATTAAGTTAAAAATTTCATCTTCGTTTTTTTTTAGTCAACTCTACATTCATTTTTTGGCATAGGACTAATTGTTGGTCCGACTCTTGGAGGTGGTCTATATCAGGTGAGGTGTCGTATTTAAATATATTTTTAAATGTTAGTGACATCACGTGTAGTTATAATATAGCATTTTGTGATACAATCTACTCTAAAATATATATACCTCTAATAATATTAATTCTTTAATGGGCATTTGTTCTATCAACCCAGCCTTTTTATTAAGCAGTTTTCTAAAATCTTGATTTTAGTGTAAACATTCAAAGTGTTAAGGAAATAACCAAATATGGAAATCTTTCACAGGCTTATGACTATGTTTCTTTATGAAATTAAACATCTAAATTCATATACTCACAGAATATAGAAGATGTTCGATTGGTGAATAAGTTTGTAAGTTCTTTATTCCAAAAATAAAAATATGATGTAATCCAAATTGTCTTCTTATTTTGGTCATTTAATAGGTTGCTATTGTATTTCACTAAATCCAGGACAAAAGTATAGTTATAGACCAGCTTATCTAGCTGATACATTTAGCAGAAACGTTACTCATTTTACGACCTTTTAATGTTTATAGCGATCAAATTATGGAAAACATTTTTGATTTACCACACTTATGCGAATGTATGATAAACTATAAAAATCTCCTTATCCGTGTAAACTAAGTTTGCTTAGTGTGACTTATGATATTTTTTTAGAATTCTTTTAATTCCCACTATACGTAGCTGTATTGTAGTGTAAATGTTTTGCATGGATGATAGTAAATTACAGCAATATCTCGACCAATACGCAATATAGTTTAATAACATTTTACGTTTTAATGCTAGGAGCAGCCTGAAAGTAAAGGGGAGTGGAGAGTTTTGACATGAAGGCATGCTATGCGTTTCATATCTCTTTGTTAATATATAAATTGCTCAAAATGTCTGTCATGAGGTGCATGTGTTTTTAATATGGAATTTCCGTCAAGGGGTTCGATTCCACATGGTGGACAGATTGCAGATAGCCTATTGTGTAGCTTTGTGCTAAAAGAAACACAGTAGTGCTGCAACACAACAACACTATTTCTAAGTGAATAGGCAGGATTTACCTGGTCCTCCCGTTGTGTTTGTGTCCCAGCCGTTTATAACAATGCCTCGGCCTGGATGTCAGTCTGGAAGGGAGAACCAAAGCATGTACTTTATACGTGGCCAACAAGGTCACTTCAAAGTGAACTGTCAGTACCTTTCAAGGGAATTGAGAAAACCAATTTTAACTAACTGCACAGGAGATACAGGGGGGTTAGCACCAAGCTATAGCTGCTGCTACTTCAAAATTGGAAGACTAAACGGGTTTAGTCACTAATTCAGGAAGGCGCAGGAGGCAGTTTATGTTGAAGGGTGTGGTGGTCAATTTCTTACAGAGCTTGGAGGTGCTCTGAGTTCCTGGTTGCTATTGTAGCTGCCAAGACACATATTAATCTTAACAATATGAAGCCACTATTCAAGCCACTGGCTTTGTTCTGATGAATAATGATAGATGTGACTGGAGAGGCCCATCTATGACTATGTCGAAGTGATGTCAATCATCAAATGAAGGTAGTCATCACCAACATAGGTTCTGCCATAGGGTCCTTTGGATGGATTTATTGTGCAATAGGTATACTGCATGTTAACCATCCAATAGCAGCCAATATGCACACAGGATAATTGAAAATCATGACTGTATATTGTGAAGGAAGTCACATACTTCTACAGATGAGGTATAATGTACAGATGAGTATAATATCCACTGATTCCTTCTCAAAAAGCAGGCAGTACTGGATTGCCCGATTTAACTTACTTTAAGAAATTATCATGGATTAAGAAGCTAATTTCATTTGTTAATCATTGAGTTGTGCACAGCGTTGGATCTTATGGAGATATGTATTTCACCTTATCATCCACTGTCTGATGGTTTGACAGATTGGGTAATGAAACTATCAAGCAGATATTTGCAAAATTTGTTATTTACTGGAATAAACATATACCATGCATTATGATGGCATAGTGTACAACAGAATAGAGGTTGAATAATTGTTAGCTGATATTGGTCGGGAGATATTGTTACCTGTGAATGTTATATGTAATTGTCACTAGGGTAGATATGCCACAGTGTCCAAAAGAATATTTAGAGTGCCAAAGATCTGAATTGGAAAATGAACTCAAGTTTTTAGGCCAAAAGATAAAGAAGGCTGCTGTATGGCAGAAGAGATGTCATAACAAGATAGTCAAGGAATATAAGTTCTCTCATGGAGGTGAGGTATGACTTTGGATCATTCCAGTGATTAAAATGTACCAACAGATTGGACCATTAACATACAAGAAACAGTAGTAGTGTGGTATACGTAAAACGTAAACATGTGCAGCATGTCAACAAGCTGCAACTGAATGGTACTGATCAGCCTCTTGTGCACTGAGTTGACCAGAAATCAGGGGTAAGACTAATGAGAACACTGTTTCTTATCGTCTCACCTCAGATGATAAGGAAAAAGATACAGAAAGTTCTTATCTAGCTGTGCAAGAGAAGTCAGATGAGGAAGTACATGAAGATGAGGCGTCAAATAGTTCTAGCTGTCAGCTGAGATGCCGAACTCCTTATTTCTATGGTTGGGATTAATTACCAGTGCAACAGCTAGGATAATCATTTGGTTGAAGTATCAAGACTGAAAAGAAGAAGTATTCCCTGTTTTCTGAGCTATCAAGAGAGGTTTGTCATACATTGATTGTCACTTTATTGCTTTGCATTTACGACAGTCACATATTGCAAAAACAAATGAGTAAAATGAAGTAGCAATCATTGCTTCCTGAGATACATCGTATAATGTATGCACTACATTATGTTAATTTCATTGATTTTCACAAAGTCGGGATAGTTTGCTGATCACACGACTGAGTGGGCAAAAGTTTATTGAATCTATCTAGCAGAGTTTCACTATGAGACATCTGCTCGATTATTACACAATTAGGAAGGCTAGTATCAGTAACTGTAACTCATAAAATGCTAACAGTTTGCAGAGCTGAAGATGATAGGCGGAAATTTGAAAACTCGCTAAAAGTCACCCTTACTTTCTGAGTTATTAAGCAATTTTCTATGGCAAAGTTGTCATTTCACTTGATATCTCTCTTTTTATCTAGCAAGTAGTAGAATTTGTATGGAGCAGATTATGTGATACTTGCAAGACTCTCTTCAGTACACTTAAATATGTATGACTTCTCAATGTGCAGTGAAGGAGTTGTATTCTCGCTCAACATAGAATGTAAAATGGTGTATTGTCAATCTGAGTGGAACACTTTCTGTTTCATTTCATATTCCTGTATTTACGTTTCTGTAACTCCAACTAAAGCAAGGAGACCCTCCAGTGGCACAGCGGTATATCCACGGAATTACAACGCTAGAGACCGGGTTTCGACACCTGTGATGGCCAGAGCACAGGTAGCCCATTGTGTAGCTTTGTGCTTAAATTCAAAAAACAAAACAAACAGACTAAAGTAAGTAGATTGACTTTCATATGACAATACGTTATTTTGATAGTTCAACTACCGGAGGTCATCTAGGAGAGTAAATGTATTCTACTATGGATTATTGTATTTAGGTTGATACAAATGTGTATTGATATATTCTTTAATGAAAGCACGAGTATTGATCTAGGCTTCAAGTTAATTCTACGAATTAATATTTATTTGTATCACGATTCTGATAGAAATGTGTTTAATTTAATGGCTCATAGATGACAGCACATTACGGCACTGACATAGAGAATGGTAGTGACCTGTGAAGGTTACAATTTCAATAGCGCGTAAGCCAGAGGCAGACTTTCTACAGCTAGTAGTGTAAGGAATGACGAGAATTGTTGATATGTCTATATATATATGGCAATATATATGTATGAACAAATATGTATACATATGTGTGTGTGATTCTGTGCACACATGTATGGAAATTTACACAAAATCATTCATAAGTGTTTTTAAAACACAAATAAATCAATTATTAAGGACACAAGTATCAATCAACATATGAATGAAACTGAAGGATTTGATCTCGATGTTAAGACTTTGAGGTATTAAGGTAACTGTGATTTTTGGCATGTAAAGCATTATTTTTAGAAACAATGAATTTGCTATAGCATGTACATATATTTTCTTAAAACATAGACACATTTGGTTATCAGATGGATCCACCGAGGGGAATCGAACCCCGGAGTTTAGGGTTGTAACTCCAAAGTCTTACCGCTGTCCTATCGGGGGACTTCTGCTATAGATTCACAGTATGCTTGCAAGGAAACACATTTCGGCCTTTTGTTTCGCTAGCAATAGTAAGTATTATTTTGAGTTGATCAAACTGAAGAATTTGTGAGCATGGGAAATTATCAGCAGGAAGTGAAAATTACAAACAGTAATAGACCTAAATGCGGTCCATCAAGTATTTGAATTTGTAATACTTGAATATTGGATTATTTTGAGAATCATGCATCTTTCTGAATATTTCAATAACATAATTTTATTGCACACTCTAAGTGTATGGCCAGAGGCAAGAGTAGCTTCTCTGATGGGTTGTTTTGTAATTGCTTTTAGCTATTATCAACTTGTATTTAAAAGGAAATAAGGTGTTGGTGTTCATGAATTTCCAAGGTAAGAAATTAGAGGTTAGTATCTTTGAAGTAGCTGTCATATTTTGTTTAATTATGTAGAAACGAGCACTTGCAGTCTCACCTCATCATTTCTTTCCTACTGGATCTGGGCCTTTTTTGCATAACAGTATGATGGTAGTAAAGGAATGTGGCTGGGTTCCAGATTATCTATAAGCTGTTGTTATGGTAATAGCAATAGTGGAAAGCACAGCTTGATGTAGGTCAAGCATGAGACCTGATGAAGTCTGCAGGACCTGGATGTTCCCGAGAAAATGGATAAACATGTACTACACGTAAAATACGCGTGAGAAAGACTAGCCTGTAGAAATGTCACCTGACCATCGTAATAATTTACTACTCTGTTCCTAAATATTGTTTAATTGGGCTATGCAAATGTAACCTACATGTGTAACCAAAATACTGACAAATCAGAACTTAAGTGAACTTACATTGAAATTCAGATTTTTCTATTTAAGATCTAATTATAACTCTTCTAAATATCTTGTTTTCTACTAGTCAGTTTTATTTAATTTCTTTCTGAATGTGCTGTACTTCATGTTTGGCAATTTGGGGAATGTTCCTGACAAGCAAGACATCAGTGGCCAGCCTTATCATTACCTTGGCAGATATCATAGATGAAGGTAAATTGCTGAATGATGCATCAAATGTAATGGAGCTGAATAATGCCACCAACAGATTAGCCATGGAGTCTCCAAAGCCACCGCAACGAACCGATGTCGAGAATGTGTCTTAATGTCGAGAGACCTACTAAATTTGTCTCACCCTAGTTACTCACAGAACTAGGTCAACCACCAAAGGTATTATATACGTTCTTGACAAAAACATCACTGTAACTTCGAGCATACTGTATAGAAGTTGACAGTGATATTTTCCCCTGGAAAGTCAGGTGATGCCTCAACCTCCCTGTGAATAAAGACAGGACTTCGTATGTATAATACTCTGTTTTGTTTTGACTATGGAAAACTCTACTCAATTCGAAACAACTTAACATAGAATTCAGCAGAACACTTTTCCTTAGGTCATATATATCTTCCATAAAGGCATCATACTTTATACTTCTCTTTAACTTTGATTGTTGCTTGAGTCTTTGAAATAAAGATTGTCTGTATGAAAAGTGCGTCCAGTCTATTTTTATTTTGTTTCAAACTTATTTGAGAAAATAAGATTTTTGCTCCACAATAAAAACATTTTCTCACGTTACTCAATTACTTGACGTGAAATTAGGTAACCTCAGTATATCAAAAACTGATATATTTTTTAAATTAACATTTAATCTTATATCAGAGCAAACACAATAATTCGTTTTAGGTATAATAACTCATAAAACTTTTCGGCTTTCATTTTCTTTTCTTTTGCAGTATCAAGTAACTTTCAGGCTCACGTGATATAGAACTCCCTACAATGCTTAACTGATTATAAAACATTCTACAGTATTTTGTCAGGTTAGATAAACAGACATTAATTGTTATTGGTTGCTACACGTTAAATTAATGCAAATGGAGTTTTTACGAGTTTTTCACATCACACTTTTAACTTTAGAAGAGCTAAAAAAAACTAATGAGATAAAATCAATATGTTTATATAACAAAAAACAACAGCAGCTTTTCCTTACGGTTTCATTGCTATGTAATAATATGCTACTTTTGTTGTCGCTTTGGACTAATCTGTAATGCTATTACATTTGCTCTAAATAAAATATTAATATGCAATGTTAATAAAAACAAATAATTATGTATATCACGTTAAAAATGAACACTAAAACGAATAAAATCATGCTTTTAAAAATCAGTTTCGAGTGTATGTACCTCGAAACTTGTAGAGCTGGAAAAGTATTGGGGTGATGGTGCTTTTTCATGATGTATAACTAAATTGTTTAACGAGTTTTGAATGTTATTTAAAATGTGAAAATTATTAACTTAGAAATGTCTCCTACAAAAGTCCCATAAATGTGTCTGCAAACTTGCAATACATAAATATGGTATGAAGTTAGCTCGTTGATTTAATGAATTATTTAGGAGTCATATTTGTTCAACATTTTATCAAAATAATTTAAAGCGATATACAGTATTAACGATGTAAGTTCAGATTTAGAATATTTGCAGGTGTTCCTAACGTCACTTCCGCTGTTCAGACGACTGCGTTCAGGAAACCACTACATTACACAGTGTTGTAAAACTATGTATGCAGATACTTCCGACCATACAGAAGGCAACATATTCAGTCGTGTGATGACATAATGGTCACATTACATAGCACATACGGGTATGAAAAACATCGTTCAAAATCATATTTAGGAAATTTGTGGTAAGACCTGCGATATATGTGCTCTATTCTGAATGGTCAAATTGGTTTAAACATTATGCTTCACATTATTGTGTCCATTGGTTTCTTGAAAGCGATTATCTGAACAGCGGAAAAGACTTGAAATATCCGTACATCATCTGTCCAGAAAGATCGCTAACATCCGATTAATTTCTGTTATTACTCTATTCAAATACGTTAAACATAGTATTAGTTGATGTTTTATTCAACATCGTTACTCTCAAAATTTCACATTTAGTGATATGATTATTTGAAACATTTCCCCTAATTTCTTCATTCAGGTAGGAGGATTTTCATTGCCTTTTGCGGTTCTTGGAAGTTTATTACTCCTGGGTATAGCGCAAGTGTTTTTCTTCTTACCACAGACGGGTAAGTATTGAATATAACGCCTGAAAGATTTGTTAATTTTTTCGTTATTAAGCACAATGCTACTCAATAACAATCGAAATTCATACTTATCATTGAGCCACTAGGGAACCGCCTGAAAGAAAACTACTGTGAGTATCCATAAAAATTCTATAAAAAGTTATCATTATCTTAATTTATGACATATATTCTTATTAAGAGCGAAAAACACAAAATGTTTGGAGAAAAGAACTACATAAAAATAGTATGCTATATAGCGAAATTGCTTATATATATATATATATATTTATTTATTAATACCCTACTCACTATTGCCAAAGAATGCCAAGAATAATACAAATGTAGCATTATAGTAAAAAAACCTTTTGGTACTAAAATCTCTTATTAATGCAAGTTTATGTTGATTTTAGAGTGGAGCAAAGAAGAAAAGTCTGGTGATTTTTTTAAGCTTCTGGCAAATTTTGGAATAATCGCAAATTCATTAGTAATAATTTCGTCGCTCCTTTCCATTGGATTTAATGTAGCTACTCTGGAACCACACTTACGCCAGGTAAACTTTTTTCAATTTGCATAATATTTATGTAAGGTAAGCACAACACATCTTTAGATTGAGATACTGTCTTGACTTAAATTTGAGTTAATATTTATATTGTAGATGTTTAATTAACATTGATGCATTTACGAACATGAAAACATTTCCCTAGTTTAATTAATTGGTGAGGAGATGTGTATTTTTAGAGGATAGTCAGTGACACATAGCACACGTGAATTGCAGAGATGTTATTATAAAGCACACACAGTTAATGCCTTCATTACTGGTTATGATAATATCATAATATAAATTATTCTTTACACCTTAAAATGAATAAGAAAGCAACCGCTGGTATAATTTCACGTTAACGTACAGTTAGTTGGGTTATGGTACAATATTTTATCCAATTCTACAATGTGATATAATTCCACAGTAACCTACAGCTACTTGGGCTACGATATAATATTTTGATAATTCTCCAATGTGATATAATTCCACAGTAACAACTATTTGAATTATGATATAACATTTTGTCCAGTTCTTCAGTAAGCTGTAATTCCTGGGTAACCTGATGCCAGCCTACTTTATTTTACAACTTTGACGTTAACAAACGTTGTTTTATATGATTACAAACAACACGATATCTCATTTGGTGCTAGAACTCTTTAGTAAGTGGATGACTTACTACACCTGCACTAAAACACTATTCATACCAGTCACTCATACCACAGAACTCATTAAGTGGTCTGATCTACTTACTACACCAACACTGGAATACTATTCGCACAAGTCACTTTGACGCATGATGTTGCATGAGAAATAACGCAGAATTTTGTGAAGCATCATTCATTGCAAGCATATTAATGTTATTTTCTTCATATAACTAAGCTAGTTAGCAGCGATGTTTTGAATATCATTAGCCGTAATATTGGGATTTAGGACACGTGCCAACCCAAAAGAGATAACACTTCATCACCATTGGTATAATGCAGCATACAATGCTAATTTAAATGTGTTACATATCTGTTTAAATGGCCATTAATCACTGGCTGAATTAGAAGATATTTTTATGTTTATTTCTGTTGTTGTTGTGTTAATATAATTATTTATAATATATATGTATTGAGTTCGACTAACATGTATGGTAAGCTAAGGACCAAAATGTAACTGGGTATATGAAGCTTTATGTTAACGACACACAAGGATTAGCTTTTTGTCGAGACAGTTTTATTTAAATTATCAATGTTTTATATGATTATTCTCTGCTGTATTTTTATTGTAATGTTAGCTTTGTTATCAAGAGATTATCTTTTATGTTTATTTATCTAGTTTGACTTAAAGGGAGGTGTTTTAGGGACCATCTTCATTATTAACGGAGGAATTTACGCTTTTACTACCCCAATATTTGGGTGGATATGCGATAAAGGAGTAAGTACACAAACAATCTTGTAATCTTACGTCAGACCCACTTACTTCTGCTGAACTTGCATATTGAAACTTACATCAGGTCGGCTTACTTCTGATAAACGAACATATTGAAATTTACATCAGGTCGTCTTACTTCTGATGAACGAGTATATTAAAATTTACATCAGGTTGGTTTACTTTTGATGAACGAGCATATTAAAACTTATCTCAGATCGGCTTACATATGATGAACATGTATATTAAAACTTACATCAAGTCGGCTTACTTCTGATGAACGAGCATATTAAAGTTTACATCAGGTCGGCTTACTTTTGATGAACGAGCATATTGAAACTTACCTCAGATCGGCTTACATATGATGAACATGTATATTAAAACTTACATCAAGTCGGCTTACTTAATTTTAATAATTAATATTTTAATAATTTTATTTATTTTAATAATTCGGTAGTTACATTTTAGAATACTTTGCTATCTGAGATCTTAAATATATAGTTTATATATTTGTTTTGAAGTTTATCACATGATTTTCAAATTTGAGTAGCATTACAGAAGTCTAAATATAAGACAGGGTTTTTCTTTCATGTTTCATAACTTTATTATTAAATTGGTAATTGATAAATATTTTCATACTCCAAAAATTAATATGAATGTCGCACAAACGATGCATCAGTTGTTCTACCAAATAACTATCCCAAGGCCGTCTTAAACACACCCATTAACAAAATTCATTTTTAACACTTGTTTGTAGAAACTCCTTTAGTTACAGAAGACCCTCTAGTGTCTTCAAATAAAATAACATATACTAATATAAACGTATTATCTAATGTTTTTGTTTTATTTTATATAGTATTATTAATGGTCTGGTTTTAAAGCGTGCGCTTTATGCATATTAATATTTCATATTAAAACGAAAAATAAATGATATTTTTCTCCTTTAGGTTTCCCCTAAACTTTTGTGTATGTTTGGCAGTTTTCTGAGTGCTTTAAGTTTTCTGTTTATTGGGCCAGCACCATTTCTCTCTTTCTCTCCGTAAGTGTTTGTTTATCATTCTTAGCATTTTAATTGTTTTAGTTAAATGATTTTGATATTCACTTCAAAAATATATTTTTCTAAATGTTCTTGCAAAATTAATTTTAGTTGTAAAATTACAGACTACAGTATAGATATGATAACTTCTGGATTTTATTTTATGAGAGATCAGTTAGATTACGTAATCTCTTTAGCTTTCACTTCTAATACACTTTCCTTGGTTACTCTTCTTTCGAATGAGCTCTACTTAACTTGTATTTAAACTGTGGAATTCCAAAGACAAAAGCTATTTGACAAAATAAATAACAAATTTAGTGTAGGTGTGAGAAGTGGCGACGGCGTTAGAACTAAAATAAACAAACAGTAAACAGAAGAATTTTATGTATCTATGAATTCTAATTGCACTTTATTTTGACTATGCTAATCCGATAGGTGAGATATGTTTAGCCCGCATATATATATGCAAATTCCCTTCTACAGTAGTAGTTCTACTCAATAAAGCAATGCTGCTCTGGATAGAATTATGGCTGAAAGAATATGTATATATATAAGGTATGTTTTACTCACATAACGACACTATTAAATGATCTACATTCAAAAGATACGACATTTCAGAGAAGTGATATTATTATTACTATTCTCTGCTAAGTTTTATATTCTACTATATTTAGCTTTTATAGTGGTTCTTTACAGAGAAAACAAAATCATGAACCATGTCTAAAAACGGTAATACTTAGGAGAGTCAAAATAGAGATTTGTAGCTTGAAGAAATAATTTCAATACTATATCTCAAACCTTAAGCTAACTTGTTTACTTTTTTGCGATTACATTCTCAATTTAAGCTACCCATCTTGTTACTGTATTTTTTGAAAAGCTCTATTACTCCGTTTTAAATTAAAATTTGTTAATAATATTATATGCATGGACTGCAACAGCTATTTGCTTGGTACAAACGAATGTTGATAGAAGTCGATGTTTTGGGTGACTTCTGTTACCTGGCTTCAGGGCTCTTCTTTGTCTCTACATTTTACTTATTTTTATATATTTTTATTCTATTATGATTTATTTAGTTTTATATTATATACGTTTAAGTTGTTTATTCAATAGAATATGCTTAAGTTAACATTAGTAATTATCTTTTGCGAATGAAGCTGCTAATTATTCATAACTTGTGGTCTTATGATTACTTTTAGCTACAATTATTTAAGATACAAATACGTATTCATAATGTAACACTGTTGAAAACTTTAGCTACTAATCACATTCAACTAAACAATATGGGTGAAGCAATACGCGTTATGCTCTGATGTATGTAACCTTACTATTAATTACACTCTTTTTACTCATATATCCACTCAGCATTACTGTTTGATGCTAACCTTCAAATGTTTCCTGCTTGTGGTGAAAGTATCTCTCGAAGGGAAGGTGGTTAGTTTTTACCTTTCCTGAGATTTAAGTTTCCATTTACCAATGCAAGACGAACAATGAAGGGCAGAGGAGGATCGTGCTAGTGTAGCACTACCTATTCAAACACAACGCATTCATTTGGGCTTGATTTCTGTAGAAATTGAGTAGTCATTATTGGCTGGGGTCAACTGAGCACTTGCCATCGTCTCGTCCTATAACTCGTGCTAAAAGACCTGGTGTCAATGCAGTGTCCGCTTGTAAGACGTCATATTGGGTTGTGTTGAAAGTTTTAACTTATACTTGAATTCCTATGGAAATATTCGATTCACAAACCATGGTCCAGACTTCAAGAGGACCCTGAACGAAAGGTCTACTGACAGTGATTTGACACACTCTGCTGTACAAACGCTGTGCTTTAAATTCTTGTCATGCATTTCTTATCTGAAACATCTTTGGTAATATTTTAGCATTCTTTATCCCTAAGTGATTGGAAGGGTTTGTTGGTCTCCATAGATCTTTGAAGAAGTTGTAAGAAGAAATCTTGCTCATAGAAGTGCTTAAGCCTTTAGACAGTGAAAGCCTTATAAGTTAAATGGGAGATTCTAACAGAGGTAACCCCTCATAACAGATTAAACTCCTCCTAAGGAGTAACTATAACTTAGATATTTTTTTATATTATTCCAGCGGAGATTCTGTTGGAGCTATATTCTTAAGTGATTACAGGCGTTAAATAGAACCTTGCCAGGTAAAATGGATTGCATGAATTGATCACCGTTGTTATCTTTATCTTTTTCTCATCTCAATAATTTGTTTTTGCCATATCAGATTATTTGCATTATACTGTATAGTCACATACTTCAGACCAAATGCATACATCTATAACAGCACCATATTTGAGTTTTTCTCTCACAATACGAAGGTCCTCCACTAGGATAGCGATAGGTCTACGGAGTTGCAACTCTAACATCCAGGGTTTGATTCCATGTGATGGACACAGCAGATAGCCCAATGTGGCTTTGCTACAAATAAACAACCATATGAAGATTTTATCAACTTCTGTGGTTATGTTAGTACACAAGTCCATTTACATTCCCACATCTCTGCCAACATTGAATGTTTAGTCCCTACCTGCAGGGCACCACTTCTACAATCACTACACAAAAGACTTACAGAACTGTTAAGTCTGATGGTTAGCCTGTTCGAAAGAACTGTATTGTATTGTATTGTTTTTAAGGTAAGCACAAAGCTACACAATGGGCTCTCTGTGCTTTGCCAACCACGGGTATCGAAACCCGGATTCTAGCGTTGTAAGTCCGCAGACATACCGCTGTTCCACTGGGGGGCAACAAAATTCAAAACAGAATATAAAGTAGTGGAAAAACTCGTCAAATTAAAATAATTCTATTAATAAATCACGAAAATAGCGTTTCGGGCAACAGCCCGTCATCAGGCTACTAGTGACAATAGAATTATTAATACAAGGGTTAGGTTGAAAGAACAAGTACCACGTGGCTCGAAGGTTCGAGAACATGTTCCTGAAGCTACAAATTACTTAAGGGAAATAATATATATATATATATAAATTGTATCAGTACAATAAATTGTAGTAAACAAACTAAATCAAAAAAAGAAAAGAAAAATGTAAAACAAAAATACAGGCAAGAATGTAAGGAAATGAATGAACACGTGCATCGTGTGATATTGTTCAAAGGGATGCAACAATATAAGGTATAAGTGAAGAACGACGGTGAAAAGAAAAGAATATAAAGTGGATGACTAAAGTGAATGGAATTAGAGAGAGAAAAAAGAGTGCGAACCTTGAACAAAAAGGTTGTAGACATAATTTGTTGATGTGAAAAAGTATAGATAAAGTGGAGGGCGAGGAAATGGAAAGAATGGAGTTATTTCGTTACAGAGAAATCGGACACGCCGTGTAAAGGGTGTCTACCTGTGAGTTTGGTAGCGTCATTATTTCTTATGTAACAGAGATGCTTACGTGGAGGATCCCCTAGGCGGCGACCCGTTTGACCAATATATAGCATGTTGCACTTTTTACAGTTCACGTGAACATCTCTGTAATGCCTCATTATTTTTTATATCACGGTGTGCATACAAATCTCACATGTTCTAGATCAGCAAAGCCATTTTAATTCAGTTAGTGTCATGTTTCTGTTTTTGGTTTAGACATTTCGTAGATAGTTTATATTCAAGTAAACTTTGAGCTTAAACAATATTTGCTCGGTTTATGCATTTATAGAAAAGTGTGTTTCAAACTGTAGTAAAATTTGGTTTGTAACTCTCGTTCACTTTTGTAAGATTATTTTAGATACAGTGTTGATAAAAAGAAGGCTGTCAGGAAAATATGTTAAAATAAATTAATGAAGATAACGAAGGTGTTTCTAATAGTTTTATGTTACTTGATGTGATAGGTGATTATAATCATTCTTGAGTCGAATAATCGATAAACATAATAATCTCTATAAGCGTTTCTGATAGTCCTAAATATTGACCATTAAATAACAAAAGTAATTATAGCATTGTATTGAATAAATAATTATTCATGAGTTTTATATGGACCAAGATAAATGTTATCTGGTAACTCTGATGTTTTTCTTGTTGAATAAAATATTTACCTGAATAAAAAACTTGAAGACACTCACCATATCAAATTTAATTATATACATAGAGTACTATTTCCAAATGATTGTTTTTGGAGATTTTCACTAAGCGAAGTAAAAACGACCACGGTATACATATGAATTTTAAAAACTTTCTCAGCTTTAAAATTAAATTGAAAATAACATCATTTATTTGATATCCTCAAATAAGTGATGGGAAAGATAGACAATTAATTATTTTGATAATTCTTGAATTTTTATTTTACTAGTTCAAAGATACATAGTACTATCCTTTTCGCTATGTAAAAAAAAATATATTATAATTAATTTATTCTAAAAATATATGATCGAAAATATCGTCAGTTATTTGGATAAATATACTTTTATGAACTTTCAAAAGGACAGAAATGTTTGAAGTCTTAACCTGGAAAACGTCAAAATGTCTCCAAACATTTATGTGACATTTCCTTTCATTAATACAAGTTTAACAGAAAAAAATAAATACAAATATTATGGTTTTATTGATATTCTGAAAATTCTTTTAATCTTGCTGTTTCTTGACCTCTTCATAATATACTCCAAAATTAAGTTCAAGGATATCTTACAGTTCTTCATTCAAATGAACATCACATATAAAATTAAGAGTTCAATTTATGAAAACTGTTTATTCACTGAATACAGATACTGATTTAGTTTCATTGTTAATATAACGCCAGTTGCTACATGAGGAATGTCAAAGAAATCAGACGTAAGGTCTGACTACATCAAACAGTTCTGAAATATGTACATTTGAGAAGAAGGGCTATTCAGAATGAGTACAAACCATGTATTCCATGTATTCAGCGGCCTATATTATGGAGAATTCTAACTAAGCGTATAATGCGCGGCTCTCTGACGTCACGTAGTGTATTTAGGATATACAACGTTCTTGAGCTATTCAATGGTATTTAGATAAGAACTCCTTGCTGGCTAAAGCATAATATCTGTGATTTCTTCTTCAAGGTAGCTTATTGTACCAACTATAGGCCGAACAACTGTGTCCAGTTTCATGTAAATATATATCATCAAGTATTAAATCTTCTCCTCACACTATGACACAACCATTATTAGAGGATACATTTTCAACGATGTTACTTTCCAGACACAAATCTATTGAACACTGATAGGGACATGAGCCTTGAAGAGTACAGGTATTCAACTGTATCCTTACTAATTCTAGTAATCCAAACAAACCGTTTGCACATTTCCTGGGTTAAAGGAAGTCTTCTTAATTTTAAACCAAGTTCTCCTTATCGTTGTCAGTGATAAGCACATGCGGTGTACAGATAGAAGTCATTATGTGATGTAATTCAACTTTCGTGATATTTGCTACAAAGTTTAACATACCAGTTAACTGATAGAATAATTGTTAAATGACATTCACATGAAATATTCCAATATATGCCCATTTTAGTTGTTGATGAACTGTGTTGTCTTATCAATCATCAGAACGATATTCTTTAATATACGATGTATTATCACTCACTCTCAATATACATGTGTATCACAGTACCTGTCGTTTTCTTCCTCTGATTGCTTGGTTGGTATAGCTTACGTAACAGATTATACATTATTATAACTTTGACTACTTGGTTATCAGAGCTGTTGGTAATATTTTACGCTCAGTGCTTACTACAAATGATTAAATATAATTTTGAAATTTTAAATAACTCGTAACATCATTGTACACACTTTGTTTTATAAGTTATTCGTGGACTTCTCTGCGGCTATTTTTTATTATTTACATTCAAAATGACTTGTATTTTAATAAAGTAGGACACTATAACTAAATTGATTAAAGAAAATATTTTCTTCTCAGCCGTCTTTACAAATTTTGGGCTTGGCGCATTAATCTTCATCCGCTGTTTTTTTTTTTTTTTACTTTCATGATGTATGTGAGAAAAGGTTCATTCTGATTTCCTCAAATTATGTTTTTTATTATCTTTAAAAATTGGTATGGGGTATTATTTTCTTCAAATGAACCTATTAAATTTCATGGTTGCTACTGTTTGGAAGTCTTCAGCTATAGCCTGCAACTGTATGAAAACACCCTCAGTAGAGTACTAATGGCTACTTTTGCATTTATTTTTCTTGAATCTGTGCTAAAACCATCATCTTCGTAAAGTTATTTCATTGTAGGATTAATTCATCTAACCTTTTTTTTTTTCGTTTCACTGTATCACCCATAATGTATGTTCATTCCGGTTTTGCTATTCTATTGGATAGCATTTTCAGGTTTTTCATGTTTAATTTTTGAAAAAGTGATTCATTACATATACTCGTAATTTTGCCATTATTACAAGAGGATTTGTTTTCTTAATGATATTATGAAACAATTAAATAAATAGATGTGTTGGTTTTATATTATAAACACGGCGAGGATTACTTATACACAATGAACAATTTAGTCCTACATTTTAGCTAGACTTTGACATTTAAATTTATAGTTTACTAAACATTTATGCCATTATTTCACCCATTTGTTCACGCAGTATATTGTTCATCCCCATACTGAGTTGATAATCACAAATTGAGTATTGTTACATTTTAGATATCATTGATCAGTATAAATGGATTTTCCGAAATATTCTGAACCACATGTAATACCATGGTCAAAATATTTTCCTTTTAATGATTTACTCGTTGTAGTGCCAAAGTGGCAGACTTTTTCATGGTTATTTGAGTCATATTATATTACAAGTTTACAGTATGCAGTTTGAATCCAGCTGAAAGATCAATATTCCAATTTCATACAGTTTAAAACAACGTTTTATTATATGTTTCCAATTTTGATAAAAAAGAAAATCATAGAACTAATATAAATTTGTATTTCTTTTCACTCGGAGATGCTCAGTATTCATTAATGTGTAAACAACCTTAAGACAACAACGCGATAAAAAAAAAAAACCAACTAGAAGCATTGGTATATTTTTTCTAATCACAATTGAGCGAGATCTTAAAATTAAAATTATTTATTAGGACTTGTAAGTTACAGTGAATTAGAATGTTCAAAAACATATCAAGTGCTCCATATCTGATATATCCAGTGCTGACGAAACCTTTTGCTTGATACAAGGGCTCTTCAGACAGTGATTAAGACGCTATCTATGTTAGGAAGTTATTTGAAAGCAATGTTACGGTGCGACAGGAGGATGATTGAAGGAGCTTCATATTGCTATTTTGTTTTGAAATTGATAAAGAAAACTACGTTTTTCACTAAACTAACAATAGTGATTTGTAACCTGGAAGTCTTTGGTATTTGAACGCTATTGATACAACTATGTAAACTACATGGTAGCTGAAATGCCAGCTTTCGGAAACAAGTTTTACTTATCATCTCAGTGGTCCATTTATAATTATTTCTTTTATTTATATAATTCTATTTCGTGAGGAACGATTATCTGGCTGCACATGATAGCATTAGATGGGCAAAATAATACAGTAAAAACTAAAGTAGAGAGATGAAAAATATATGAAATTTGGCATAAACTCTCATATATCTCTAATGAAGCAAATGTTGCATCGAACTAACCTCACCCAAACCTACAATGGAAAAGTACTTAGACTGTTATATGCACAGCTCTTTACATACAAACGAGTTTCCAACAAGACAAAACTGAAGTCATAAACCTAAACCTAATTTTTTCGTGACACGGCTTATTTTTTCACAAACGTTTAAAATTTAACTTTTTATAAATGGTGATTGGTTAGTACAACGTATAAATGATTTCACTTATTAATAACGTAAAAATACTAAATTAAAACAGTAAAGCTGATTCTCATGATTTATCGCCACTTTAAGGAAAGATCTTTTTCTCCAATTAGAAATTTTATAGTTTCAGAAAGTGACAGACAAAAACATAATCCTAATTACAAGTTCGAATGCGTTAGCTCAGAAACTGCGCAGGCATTGGTAAGTTGTGTGGGTATATTGCTGATAGAAATATACTAAGCAATATTTCTAGAAATAAATTTGAAAGTTTCTGTTACGCCTTATGTGTTCTGGTGTTGTAGTATAACGGAAACCTTGTAAGATATATGATTTTTTTTTTATAATTAATGTTTTGTTGCAGTGAACTTTGGCTGATCGTAATATCACTTCTCATCTTGGGATTAGGATTATCAGCCAAGATTGTACCAGCGTTTTATTGCGCTCTGAGGGAAACAATGTAGGTCCATTTTTCTCACCATAGTTTAGTTAAAGAAATAAAAACCTCCAAAGTTTGAAGAAATAGAAATAGAAATAAGGTGGTTCAATATGCATATGGTGTCAGAAAATTATTTGACGTATTACAAACTTAAGCACGATAAGACAGTAACAGCTACGACCTTACGGTTTGTGATGGATGAAGGGTACTTTATGTCATAATGAGTGTAATCACGTATAACGCATGGCAATCACCAAATATTTCCTCAGACACATCAAGACAGAGAACACTATGTGCATCTGTGGCTAGCAGGATTGAAATTTCCAATTCTAGTGAAAAGGCAATGACGTAGAGTGTATGGAAGAGAGAGAGCCACCAGTTAGCAATTCTATAAAATTGTTGTATCGTCAAGAAGCGTGTACACAAGGAAGGTACGGTCGCTAGGTTTCACTTGTTTGGACATTTCCCTCTGGAATTATCAGAAGGTCATCGTCTATATGACAAAGGTGGCTGGTCTGGGAACACTACGTGAACGAATGAAATAGCTATTGTAAATATGCTACCCGAATGTTGTCTCTAGATGTTGAGGACTACAAATGGAAAACATGGAGAAATGTTATGATGGCATATAAAACTGCATACATGTGAGGTTAATACAACATCACAAACCGTAAGATCAAAACTGTAACTGTCTTGTTGTGGCTAAGTTTGTCAAACAATTTTCGGATTTCTCCTATATTCTTACCTATATAAAAATGTGTGTGTGTGTGTGTGCGTATATTTATATATATTCGAATCAACTTTTATGTTAATAAAGTCCATTAAAAAATCAGCTTGAAAATCAACTTTTTCGAAAGATTATATTTGTATCTCGTTATTATAATAAGATCATGTTCAATAGATGAATTCCATGTATTTTGTAGAGGTTCTAAAGTTGTGCAACGATTTGTTTTTTTGAATTTTCAGTAAACTTGGATTTCCTGACGATTTTTCAACAAAGGCCTTAGTGTCAGCCATATTTTCTTCATCTATATCTATTGGGTAAGGTACATAATATCAACTTTTTCGCGTTTTCATCACTGATTTAAGAGACAATGCCTTTGAAAAAGTGGTCTAATTTCATGTCCATTATGGCATTTCCTCGTAATTTGTTTTCCATGTATATTAAATATATCTTTTTCGTAATTAGTAAGTACGACATATTTATTTAAGCGTACTAAATTTTCTAGTAACATCACTATTGCATACTATGGATAAAATGCAGAATTAAAATATATAAGCCACAATCTTATTTTGTACTTACTCGAAAAGAGCACTATGTAAATAAAATTTCAATTCAATGTATAGAATTAAATTGTCTATTACCAATACGAATCTTTTTTTTACCAAGTAAAGTATCAAATAAACATTAGATGCAAGATGGTTTTTCAAAATACCTGTTATAGTTTTTTTACGTACCATGATCTTATCTTAAAATAATTAGTAGTATTTTTAAATACTCATACCTTCAAAATGAAGCAGAACAAAGGAAGTTTTACTTTTTTGTTCGTAGATGATGCATAAGTGTTAAAGTATATATTAAACATTAAATGTTAAAGTGCTAATAAATGTAATATGAACTTAAGGATGTATAATAACTGTTCAATGTCAGAGTATCTACTAACTGTTAAATGTTAGGGTATATGATAACTATTAAATGTTACGTAGTTACCAACTTTCAAATGTTAGGGTATATGATAACTATTAAATGTTAAAGTTTGTACCAACTTAGATATAGCAAGGTAACAGTTGTGAGACTATATACTAAGTGTTAACTAGAGTATACGTTACGGTATATACTAACTCGTAAATTTAGTATATATACTAACAATTAAAGATTAGGTATTTACAAAGTATTCGTGATAGGGTATGTACAAACATTAAAATATTATGGTACAATCTTAGAGTTAAATATTGAGAGTCTAAGGCTAGGATATAAACTAACTTATATAGGAGAGTTTATATACTAGTGTATATACTAACTGGTAAATTTTAGGGTATATATTAATTGCTATATATTAGCGTACATACTAACTACAGTATTAAATGGGGATATTTCATAAGCTGAACGTTAGAGTATACACTAACGTTTAACTGTTACGGTTGAAGTAAACTATTAAATGAAGCAATAACTGTTAAATATTAGGGTATATGCTAACATCTAAATATTATGGAACCTACTAGTTTTTAAATGTTGTGGTATATACTAACTGTTAATGCTATAGCATATATTAAGTGCCAAATGGTAAAGTTCGTACTAACCGTAAATCCTAGGGTATATACTAAGCCAAAAAATGTTAGGGAATATGCTAACTGTTATATCTTAGCGAACATACTCACTATTAAATTTTACGACACATGGAAATTATTAAATCTTAGGGTATAGAAACTGTCAATTATAGCTTATATACTAATTGTTAACTGTTAGATTATAAACTAACTGTAAAATGTTATAATATGTAGTAATTCTGAAATGCTACGATACATACACATTCTTAATTGCTATGGTATATAGTAGTTCTCAAATTTTGTATATATACTAACTGTTAACTGTTATGATGTATAATGCCTATTAAAAGTTGAAGTACATACTAGGTATTAAATGTTATCGCACATACCAACTGCTAAAAGTTAAAGTTCATGCTAAACATTAAATGTTAGGGTATATATAGCTTAGGTGTAATTTACTGCTTAATGTTCTGATATATACTGTAACTGTTAGATTTTATAGTGTATGGTATCTGTTATATGTTAGGATATGTGCTAACTGTTCAAGTTTAGGTACCTATTATGTGCTAAATGTTACGGTATATACAGTAATGTGCAAAAGTTTTAGGACAAGAGAATATTTTGTCATTCTTTTCATTTTATGGGTCTAATTCTTCCATGTCATTACAGAATATAAATCTCAACACTATGGTAATGGTTCACTGATCCCTGTTGACAATTGAATGAACCAGGGTGAGAATACTTATCATTCTTTAGAATTCCCATATACTTGTACCAAGGGCATGTCGTAAGGGTTCTGCTTGAATGAACATACTGATCAAATATAGGGTCTGCAGTGTCTTAACTATATAGCAAGGAGCTAGCATATGGTACCAGTATATGCTAGAAAAAATCAATAATTGTTCCTTATCAACCTTCTTCAATGAAATTGTTCTTTTTAAAAAAGAGGGGAAACAATAAAAAAATTGCAAAAAATTAAGTATAATGTAGTGCTGTTACGAGTTACACCAGTTAAGGTCGGTCAAATTGATCAACCTTGAATAGAGTTAAGGTAGAGAAAAACAGATAAAGTATAAAGTTTTACAGAAAAAAAACATTTGAAATGTACTTAGGAGGTCTTAGAAACAAGATATAGTAGTTCCTTCTTGTACTAGCAAGACTATTCAAAACATAATACTCGAATGTAGTATTATGATAATATTATATCTATGGCCTTCAAAAAGTTGACGACTCTACATGTTTCGACGTTGCAACGTCATCTTCAGGAGTGAATTACAAGACAATGCTAAAGTATATACAAACTGTTAAATATTATGTACTTACTAACATTTAAGTGTTAGGTTCTATACTATCTGTTATATCTTAGGATACACACTAACTGTTAAATGTTATGGTATATTTTAACATTGAAAGTTAAAATATAAACTTATTATTATATATTAGGGATGTACAAACTGTGTAATTAGTGTATATACGCGGTGGTGAATATAATAAACTGTTAAATTTTGAGTATGTTAGAGTCTATACAATTTCTGAAATATAAAGAGCTGTTAAAAATCAATATATAATATTTTATATACTAACTCTTAAATGCCCTTGTGGATACTAGCTTTTGAATCTTAAGTATTTTCTAACAGTTACATATTAATATATATAATAACTCTCAAGTGTTAAAATATACGTTAGGGTATATACTAATTGTTAAGTGTTATGGCATATTTTAATTTTTATAGAATGGCTCAGAGTTTTTTTTTTTTTTTTTTTACATACAAACCTTTA